CAGGGTGTTATGGAATTGGGAACGGGACAGCTGATGGACCCTATTAACACACTGCTAGTTCCCCTTACCCTAATACTCCCTTATCCTCATATTCACAATTCCAAGGTGCTAAGGAACAGGGAATGGGACAGCTGACATGCTGTATCACCATCCCAGCAGCTCCCCATATCCCATTCCCCCGGGATGTGATCCACCTCTCCTACCTGCCTCAGGAGCAGCACGGAGCCGGGCCGGAGCTCGCTCTGCCTCTCCTCCAGCAGCAGCCGGTGCACCGTGCCCTGGATCTCCCCTGTGGATGAGGATGGGATCCCTGAGCCCCGGGAGTGAGAGGCAGGAGCCCCACCCGGGCACAGCTCCGGCCCCACTCACCCGTCGGATCCCGGAACACGGCGCCGGCGCCGGCGCTGCTCCTGGTCAGGGCCTTGATCATCACGGCCATGCTGGGGACCTTGTTTTTGGGGAGCTGCTTCAGGGCTGCCTGCACGGCACAAAGGGGGATTTTGGGATGTCCTGGCCAGGAGCTGGACTTGATGATCCTTGTGGGCCCCTTCCAGCGTGGGACACTCCGGGATTCTGTGACGCTTGTCACACCGATGTCCCCGTGCGGACGTGGCTGTCCGTGCTCAGCCCAGCTCGGCCCCCTCCCCACATGGATTCCTGGCTCTAAAAACAGCTCTGAGGGGTGAGGGAAGAGCTGGAAGCTGAATCCCAGGTCTGGTGGCCTCGTGTGGGCCCCCTCACCTTCCGCAGCACCATGACGACGCTGTAGGTGTGGAGGAAGCAGCCGGGATCCCTCTCGTCCAGACCCAGCTCCGTCTTCATGGCCAGCCAGGGTCCCTTCCCAAAATCCTCCTCCGTGGGCAGCGGGGAGCTGGGCAGTGCCTGGAGTCACGGGACAACCACAGTCACCACCCTGGAGCCGCAGGGACCCCCTCCCCTTCCAGCATCCCTCTGTGGGAGCCCACAGCAGTGCTGATGGGATTCCCAGCCGGATCTGCTGCAGCTGGGGGGGAAGTGTCTGTGTTACCTGTGTCCGTGGCTTTGCCACAGCCCCGTGAGCTGGAGTCTGGGGAGCAGAAACCAGGATCTCCTCCAGCAGCTTCCCAGAGTGCTTATGGGATAAAGGGAAGTGTCCAGGGATTTGCATCGCTTCATCAGCTGCTCCCATCCCAACCTGTCCCATCTTATGCCATTCCCATTACCTTCCCATCCTATCCCCATCCTGTCCTTATTCCATTCTCATCCCATTCCATTCCTGTCCCCATCTCTATCCCTATTCCCATCCTCATCCCCGTCCCATCCTTATCCCTGTTCCCATGCTGTCTCTATCCTCATTCAAACCCCATCCCAACCCCATCCAATCCCCATCCCCGTCCCCATCCAATCCCCATTCCACTCCCATCTCCATCTCTATCCCCACTCCCATCCTGTCCCCATCCCCATCCTCATCCCCATCCCATCCTTCTCCCTGTTCCCATGCCATCCCTATCCCCATTCAATCCCCATCACATTCTCATCCCCACCCCATCACCATCCCATCCTGCCCCCAGTTCCATTCCACTCCCATCCCCACCTTTATCCCCGTTCCACTCCAACCTCCATCCCTATCCCCACTTCCATCCTGTCCCCATCCCCATCCCCATCCCCATCACCCACCTGCTGGGGCAGGATCCCGGCGGGCCCCGGGAAGCGCCGGCTCTCCCTGCACGGGGGGACTCGGGGGGACG